CTCTAATCGAACAATAGAATTGACCGCCATATTTATAACGCCCCACAACTGAAAGAACGAGCATGTTCGGCGACGGGTTTCGAACCCGCGACACGCAGAATGCTAGTATGATAAGAAACGCCTATATTTAAAAATATTGTTTTATATACAATGATGAATTCTCTAGAAAAAAAAAGAAAGCATCATTTAATTTTTGCGCTACATAGTTGATCTACGAAATTCTCTTAATATTCTTATATCCGGGCATGTTTCCTTTCAATATTTCTGTCGAGTGAAGTAAGAGACTAATTGAAACTTATACCTAAGTTTACAAAAACTGATAAAAAAATCTAGAAATATAGAAAATACAAAAATAAGTTTGTAAATTATAAATACATGACCTGAAATTTTAGCTATTTAACAAACAAACAAAATCAAGGAAACATGAGTGATACATTAAAAGTTTTGAACTTTTCGAATGATTTCAGCCTGTGTAAAGCGCTAACTTGTGCACTAGTAAACAAATAAGCCTTGAAAAGGTGACAAAGTTTTAGGCTTAGTAAAGCTGCTATTAGATGTATCTGCACGAGTGCTCTGTTGTAATGAAAAATTAAATTATTTAGACGGTTTTACTTGCCATAATGATTGTTTTTATATAATAAACTCGAAATTTAAGTAAAATGATCACAGATTGGTGTAAAATTGTTGATAACTGTTGATTTTTAATTAAGCATTAATTAATTAATGTCAGAAGGGTAACCATCAACGGCTTTTAGTAAAATGTGAATCAAACGATTAACACAAGAACTCAAACCGACACTCGTCAGCCAGATTATATGAAACGATTAACACAATAACTCAAACCAACACTCGTCAGCCAGATTATATGAAACGATTAACACAAGAACTCAAACCGACACTCGTCAGCCAGATTATATGAAACGATTAACACAATAACTCAAACCAACACTCGTCAGCCAGATTATATGAAACGATTAACACAATAACTCAAACCAACATTCGTCAGCCAGATTATATCAAACGAATAACACAATAACTCAAACCAACACTCGTCAGCCAGATTATATCAAACGATTAACACAATGACTCAAACCAACACTTGTCAGTCAGATTATATAAAACGAACTTATTAACAGAAGAACTAAAACCACACTCGCGTCATTCAGATCATATCCAACGAAGCCGACCTAAACATACATTTATTAAAGTAGCTTGAATTTTGAAGTAATGTTTCTGTTACTTCTGCTTTGTCATGGCAAAGGAGGGTATGAGACTGTTTTGTTTCTAGTTAAGCACAAAGCTACATAATGGGCTATCGGTGCTCTGCCCACCGGTATGAGACTGTCATGCTTTACGAGTTGATCTAGCACTTCAAAATATCTTCACCAACAGCGATATTGACTGAGATATGAAACATTCGCTCGCATCGGGGAAGGAAGTGGAGCCCATAATATCAAGTTAAAATGTAGAGTTTCGAGCTAGGAAGTGGAGCCCATAATATCAAGTTAAAATGAAGAGTTTCGAGCTATATCAATTCACGTCAGACGAATTTTTTTCGATGGAGATTTATATCTTCTTTAAGTTCAACTGCAAATCAAAATATTAAAAAAATTGTTTGTTTTAAGTTAAGCTCAAAGCTACTCGATGGGCTATCTGTGCTCTGCCCACCACGAGTATCGAAACCTGCTTTCTAGCGTTGTAAGTCCGCAGGCATGCCGCTGTGCCACTGGGGAGGCAATATCGTGTAGAGATCATTACATAATGATTTGTTTATATCTTTTTATCTTGAACTTTAAGTATATCTATGTGGAAAACAACAACAACACTAAAACAGCATTATTTCTAAATTATATCATTATAATATAAGGATTGTATACATATTATTACACAGTTGATTATTTCATATTTGTTATTTTGAAAATACGTCGTTCTTGCTTCTCCTTGTCACTCATGAAGACCTGAAATTTTTTTGGAGATAAATTTAAACCACATTCTTCATGAGTTTAAGCTCCTAATTGTTCATTCTGCTGATACTGTAGCAACATAAAACGTTATATATTGCAGCACGACTCGTGATATTAGCAGCATGGTTCCATTGTAGTCGCTCGGCATGGCCAGGTGGTTAAGGTGCTCGACTCGCAATCTGTGGGTCGCGGGTTCAAATCCCCTTTACACCAAACATGCTCGCTCTTTCAGCAGTGCAGGCATTATAATGTGACGGTCAATCCCACTATTCGTCGGTAAAAGAGTAGCCCAAGAGTTGGCGGGTGGCGGTGATGACTAGCTGCCTTCCCCCCTAGTCTTACACTGTTAAATTAGGGACGGCTAGCGCAGATAGCCCTCGTGTAGCTTTGCTCGAAATTCAAAAACAAACTAACCAATCCATTGTAGCCGAAAAAAACAACATATTATTAGAAATATCTTTTAACCTTTTTTTTTAGAAACACATAACAAAACTTCTAAAATTGAAAACTGGAATGAAACATTGATCGCCTTTGGATAGCTAATAAATCGTACACTTATTTTCAGTGGGGTTGTTCTATTTTTCTACCAAACAAAAAAAACAAAACAAGCTCTTTAAGGAGTGTATAAGTTAACCTGCTAGTGAAAAAAACCTTGGTGACCACGGGTACTTTCACCCACGAAGAGTTTGGTTTTCTCTGTTAACCTGATCCACACTTTTACGTACACAATGGACTAAACGGCCAGATCAGAGACTGTATGGTTCGGGCACAGCCGTCCAAAATTTGGAACTGTGGACCAAAGGAAATGAAATGAGTCAGTATTACCCGCCGTCTGAAACAGTTACTGTTAACCGAATAGCGAAATTGATTATCACTCTTATAACGCACTAACAGCTAAAAGTGCAATACATGTTTGGTAACATCATGCCTCGAAATCGAAACCCTTGGATCCCTTGTCTGATACACTAACCAATAGGCCATGTTTGGGTCCACACAGATAGAATCATTAATAATGAAGACGTTGAATAAGAGAATTAAAACTAAATCGAAAAAAAGTAAGCATTTTATTAACCAGAAAGTTTTTAAAGGGCTTTGAGTAGAATCATTGGTAAGGGAAAAGTTAAATAGAAAATTAAAGCTCAACAACAACAACAAAATACAGATAGAATCATTAGTAAGGGAACTGAAACTAAACCACAAAATAACTTACGCATTTTTTAACCGGAGAGTTTTTTATTGGGCTTTAATTGATAAACACCAGACACATTTTTCTTTAGAAAAATAAATAAAGCAACAAATAGTAATCGTATTTTGCATCGCAAACATGATTGAAAAGCTCGGCAAAAAGTAAATAATTATACGAAAAGTCGGATTTCTGGCGACTGTTTGTTGTAATGAATTATAATCTATGACCATATGAAATATAAGTTGAGCATTTCTGTATATCGAAATCCCTAAAAATTTTTTGGTAATGGTTATACAAAGAAACACGACATTAATCCATCTTACATTGAACATGTAGGCCTAAGCTTACTCTTTATATAAGTGTACACAAAAACACACTCAAGTTTTATTTACAATACCATGTCTCTGTGAGAGGTTATCGCTGTCACTACCATAGGGTTGCTATAGTAACGACGATGAGCTTAGCTTGAGTTTCAATCGATGCTGGACATCTCGGTTAAGAAGGTGATGTGATTAGTCGCGGTCATGCCAGGCGTCAAACACAACAAGTATAAATTGTTCGTCGGAGTTCGGCCAACATTATTTTATTTTAGTAAAACTTCGAGTAACTCGAGAAAGCCACAATTTCGACTGTGTTCTAATGTTAAAAAGTTGGCTATTGAAAAGCTTGAAAAAATCCGCGTATGAGAAAAAAAGAAAAAAGTCTTATTCAACTGCATTTGATACAACAGATAACAAACGAAGACAATCAACCTACCACATCTTAACTGTGCATCACACATAAAACGTATCTTGTTTATTCTGTTAATTTGAAATTACACAGAAAGTAGTGTTACCTACCTCCAGTTTCCATACTTGAAATTAGATTTAATTTTGAGATTACATAGAAAATAGCGCCACCTACCTCAAGTTGTATAATTAAATTCTGGAGCTTCTCTGGAAACAATCTTTCTGGTGCCTGATGTTGTCTTGAACATAGCCGTTTCTTGAATGTCCAGTCTTCGGTTCCATCCTCGGGGTTCTATACTTGAATTTACATTTAATTTTGAGATTATATAAAAAAAACAGCGCCACCTACCTCAAGTTCTATACTTGAATTCTGGGGCTCCTCTTGAAACAATCCTTCTGGTGCTTGATGTTGTCTAGAATATGGCCGTTTATTTGAATGTCCACTCTTCGGTTCCATCCACTCGTTTTGTCTAACTCCACTAGTCTGATCTGTTTAACATGAAATTCACGACAAAACTGAGTTTAAAATTTCGGAAAAAAACACATCATATTGTCGTTATATCACATGAAAAACGTTTTCTTACAGTATCTAACTAGAAATAAAATCAGCTTGTTTTTATCCACTGTCGTATTGAAAATACTGAAAATGTATAACTCACTCAGAAAAATAACCAGTGGTTAACTAGGGGTTTTGAAAGAAGTGAAACCTTCTTTCGTGATCCACTTTGTTATAGCAGCGTGGTATAACAGAGGATATATCCTCGCTGAGAACATATTCAAGTATTAAATGGTGCCGCCTTGTACATCCTAATCAGAATGGCTTTAATCCTCAAGAGGAGGAACGCCGTTCCGAACCGTTTCGCCCTAATTTAGCCCCTGAAAAAACTTGTTTGTGATCCGTAAGTACATTGTGTTCCATAATAACAGGAAAAATGTGCATAATGAATTAACATTAGCCGGAAGTATGAATATAAAATAGACTAGCATGTGCTTTGTGAACACAGTGCGCGTTTAAAAATTACTTAATAACAATCACCAACTAATGTACATTTCTATCCTGATATACAACACGAGTTCTCGTACATAAAACTACTGGTACGGAAGATATAAGGAATGAAATCATTGTACTTCTGTGGCATGATATATTGACAAGTAAAGGTGAGATATTACTGGTTGACAACTAATTATGAAACTCAGTAAAGGTGAGAGATTACTGGTTGACAACTAATTATGAAACTCAGTAAAGGTGAGAGATTACAGGTTGACAACTAATTATGATACTCAGTAAAGGTGAGAGATTACTGGTTGACAACTAATTATGAGACTCAGTAAAGGTGAGAGATTACTGGCTGACAACTAATTATGAGACTCAGTAAAAGTGAGAGATTACTGGTTGACAACTAATTATGAAACTCAATGAAGGTGAGAGATTACTGGTTGACAACTAATTATGACACTCAGTAAAAGTGGGAGATTACTGGTTGACAACTAATTACGAAACTCAGTAAAGGTGAGAGATTACTGGTTGACAACTAATTATGAAACTCAGTAAAGGTGAGAGATTACTGGTTGACAACTAATTATGATGCTCAGTAAAGGTGAGAGATTACTGGTTGACAACTAATTATGAAACTCAGTAAAGGTGAGAGATTACTGGTTGACAACTAATTATGAAACTCAGTAAAGGTGAGAGATTACTGGTTGACAACTAATTATGAAACTCAGTAAAGGTGAGAGATTACTGGATGACAACTAATTATGAAACATATACATTCATTGTGGTGAGGATGTAGTAATTAAAGTTCCGTGAACCGAAATGACTTTACGATGTTAGCATTGTTAGACGTTCTGGACGTTAGGCAGGAGGTACGTATATTTTAAAAGGCACTTACTTCTACTAGTCCACTAGCAGAGTTTCTAAAAATGTCCGCCGACCTACAATCAATTACTGATATGCATTCTACGACTCTGTATGTTCTAGTGGAGTAAGTATGCCCCCCCCCCGCAATTGTGGATGGGAGGCGAGCGAAAAGGGGGCCCGAATCAGCCAGAATCGTAACTACAATTATAGGGAATAAATGTATGGGCCCATCTTGTAAAGCTACTACAATTACAGGGAATAAATGTAGGGGCCCATCTTGTATAGTTACTACAATTATAGGGAATAAATGTAGGGGCCCCATCTTGTACACTTACTATAATTATAGGGAATAAATATAGGGGGCCCATCTTGTATAGTTACTACAATTATAAGGAATAAATGTAGGGAGCCCATCTTGTATAGTTACTACAATTACAGGGAATAAATGTAGGGGCCCATCTTATATAGTTACTACAATTATAGGGAATAAATGTAGGGGCCCATCTTATATAGTTACTACAATTATAGGGAATAAATGTAGGGGCCCCATCTTGTATAGTTACTACAAGTCTAAGGAATAAATGTAGGGGCCCATCTTGTATAGTTACTACAATTATAGGGAATAAATGTAGGGCCCATCTTGTATAGTTACTACAATGATAGGGAATAAATGTTGGGGCCCATCTTGTATAGTTACTACAATTATAGGGAATAAATGTAGGGGGCCCATCTTGTACAGTTACTACAAGTATAAGAAATAAATGTAGGGAGCACATCTTATATAGTTACTACAAGTATAAGGAATAAACGTAGGGCCCATCTTGTATAGTTACTACAATTATAGGGAATAAATGTAGGGACCCATCTTGTATAGTTACTACAATGATAGGGAATAAATGTTGGGGCCCATCTTGTACAGTTACTACAATTATAGGGAATAAATGTAGGGGGCCCATCGTGTATAGTTACGTCACTGGTTTGTTAAAGCAATTTCTTAGTTCCAGTTTGTTCTGCTACTTGGGTTTGGTGAAATAAAGCATTTGACACGACACAGTGCGCTAAAATCTTCATCTGCTAAACTCAAGTTAAATCTTTACATAAAAATAAAGCATTTTACACGACACGGGACGCTAAAATCTTCATCTGCTAAACTCAAGTTAAATCTTTACATCAAAATAAAGAATTTGACACGACACAGTACGCTAAAATCTTCATCTGCTAAACTCAAGCTAAATCTTTACATAAAAATAAAGCATTTTACACGACACAGTACGCTAAAATCTTCATCTGCTAAACTCAAGTTAAATCTTTACATAAAAATAACGAATTTGACACGACACAGTACACTAAAATCTTCATCTGCTAAACTCAAGTTAAATCTTTACATAAAAATAAAGCATTTTACATGACACAGTACGCTAAAATCTTCATCTGCTAAACTCAGGTTAAATCTTTACATGAAACTTCTTTTCTCACTAAGGCAGAAGAAACACTAACAAAAGCTTATTTAAGCAATCAAGAAGCCAGCCCATCAATCAAATAATCGATTAGGTCAACAAATTATCTGCGGTAATTGGTGCACTAGAATGAGTTGGAAACAAGAACTTTGATTGGTGGGCTGGCTGCTTGACGACCTGAGAAGTTTTCCCATAATATAAAAGTTAAAAACGGAAGCTTTTCTTATTATCCACTCAAAACTGTAGATAAAGACTGACTACATTTATCTAAGCAAACGGACATACAAACACTAAGAGATGATGCATGAATAAAACAAATAAAGCCTATTTTCAATGTAACGAGGCTTTTACTGCCTGACGAAACGTTGCATAGAATAAAATAAAATAAAGTTTTACTTAAACGTGTTAGGTTATCCTTCATTACGTTTCATCCGAGCTTTTCTGCTCACCCCTTGCGGAACAACAATCACTAATTAACCGCTTGGCTATCTTATAATAACATTTCTGCGTTTTAATTAATGTACGAGTATTAAGTTTGATGTGACACATTTATAAAATATGAGGCGTGATACTGTAGCTAGTTGGGTGTGCTGAACTGTGAATTCGAAGGTCTATGGTTTTGGTCCCATAGGCCTTATTCACGATCTCAAAACGAGACTAGACCTGCTGCAGTGCTACCGTAAACACTGCGGCTAGTATGATTGAAACCACTAAATGTGATCTTTGACACACAAACTTAAGCGTTGTACCTATATTTCCCGCAGGTGTTATGAAAGATTTAATCGCCAAGCAATAGGCCGTTAAAGTGACATCATATGGGATGTATACATTTTTCTCAGAGGTTGGAGGTAAGTTTCATAGCTATAGTCGGTCCGACAATAATTGAAACAATGTTGAAACTATATCTGATGTTAGTTACTTAAGCCTAGATTTTTATATTTTAGAGCAACAATGTTATGAAATGATTTCTATTCATTGATATCAGTTAATAGGTTTACCGTAGGAAATGTTTTAAATATCACAAGTAAAAAATGTTGTAAATAAAAAACTAGGAAGTAGGAATGGGAGCACCAAAAAGTAAGGAAACATGGTAGAAATGGGGATACGTTTTAGTGTCCCTTGACGTTTGTTTTTCTTTATAACGCCAGTCATTGCTACATTTCGGCACCGACCAAGAGGCCATATTGTTGGCACTAACAGTGATAGACACAATTTGAAGTCGTAATGGCGAAAGCGTGATTTACATCTGTTGTTGCCGAACTGGGCTCTGCATTCCATGGCCGTTCTAATAGTGATAATCAAATCCCACTGGTAGATTGTAATAGCTCAAGAGTCGGCGGAGGGTGCTGTTAACTAGCTGACTTTCCTCTAGTGTACCAGTTCAGAATTAGGAACGACTAGGAAGACATCCCTTGTGTAGCTTAGCGTGAATATCCGAAACAAAAAGTATTATAACAGACGTAATGCGAGCTACCAAAATCTTTCAGGATTGTTAGTGGTAAAATTAAAAAAGAAAAAGAAAACAGAAGTATCGAGCGATTGTGATAACACCTGTTAATAGGAAGAACTGATTAAACGCAGCAGCGTAATAATCGTAACAAGATTGTTTCAAAATGTTAAGTGTAATGTATAAATGTAAATAAAACGAGCTGACATTTATTTACACAGCGAATAGCTTTCCTGCTTGTTTTAGAGAAAAGCCATGTTGGGCAGTCTGCTCTGAACAGCGCAGAGAATCGAACCCCGGATTCTAGCGTTGTAAATCTGTAAACTTATCTCTGTCCACCGGTGGACGCAATGAAAAGGTTTTGTTTGTTTTGAATTTTTCACAAGGCTACTCGAGAGCTATCTGCGCTATCCGTCCCTAATTTAGCTGTCATAGACTAGAGGGAACGTAACACCATCCACCGTAAACAGTTGGAGTACTCTTTTTACAGACGAATAGTGAGATTGATCATTACATTATAATGTTCCAACGGCTGAAAGAGCGAGCATTTTTGGTGATGAGAATTCGAATCCGCTACCCTCAGATTGCGAGTCAAGCGCCCTAGCCACCTGACCATGCCAGGCCGCAACAAAAAGTTATAATAAGAAATAACATATTGTGGCGGATT